GGTATTTTTTTCCTTTTTTTTTTTTTTTTGAAAAGGCCTGAAAATTGAGCCCCACAAAATATATAATTTAACAGTACTCAATAGGTGACCATTGTTTAAAATATCAGCAACATATGGAAAATATGTGTAGTGCAAATTATTCACCTCTGATGTTCTAGATTTGGTCAAATGTGAGCATGCCTGTAATTTGTATAGAAAAGAAAATATCATTAAATTCATCATTTCAGTCCCAGCTTGATGAATTGAGACAGAAGATGGGCGCGACATTGAGTGAGCGATACAATACTACACAGAAAGGGACTGCCAAGATGATGTCGGACTATGAGAAGATGAGGAAAGATCTTATTAAGGTGATTACTTCAGAGTCTATACCACTTAATTCTTATTACAAAGACTGACTTAAGGGGTTATACCGCATATGTCTCCTTTTCAGGAATTACTTTCGGGGCTATACCACTTCATTCTTATTTCATTCTTCTTATTCTTATTTTTTAAGGAATCAAAATGGTATTATCTTTTTATCTATGTTTAAAAAGATGTCATGAATTTGTCTATGTTTTGATACAACTGTTTATGTCTTTTAGCTATGTTTAAAAAGATGTCATGATTTTGTTTTGGGGTTTAATCGAATTGTGCATACTTATCTAGCTTTTTCAAGAAATTAACAAAATGTTGCCATGGTGATTATTTGTATGGTGATTATTTGTATATATAGAGGAGATGTTTATGTTTTTCTGATGATTGTTTGTGTGTATAGAAGAGATTTTATGTTGCCATGGTGATTATTTGTATATATAGAGGAGATGTTTATGTTTTTCTGATGATTGTTTGTGTGTATAGAGGAGATTTTATGTTGCCATGGTGATTATTTGTATATATAGAGGAGATGTTTATGTTTTTCTGATGATTGTTTGTGTGTATAGAAGAGATTTTATGTTGCCATGGTGATTATTTGTATATATAGAGGAGATGTTTATGTTTTTTGATGATTGTTTGTGTGTATAGAGGAGATTTTATGTTGCCATGGTGATTATTTGTATATATGTGTTTATGTTTTTCTGATGATTGTTTGTGTGTATAGAAGAGATTTTATGTTGCCATGGTGATTATTTGTATATATAGAGGAGATGTTTATGTTTTTCTGATGATTGTTTGTGTGTATAGAGGAGATTTTATGTTGCCATGGTGATTGTTTGTATGACTCTAGATCTTTTGTCGTCTTGATGATTGCAGGAAATGGAGAGCAACGAGAAGCTACGAGTTGACATCCGTAACCTTGAGCTACAGAAGGAACAGATCGCAGCTCAGCTAAGTGAAGCCCGATCAATGTCAGCTACAGGTGGGGATAGACCCACGCTACAAACTACTATGGATTCCAAGGGCTGGAAGTCAGCAGTCGTCACACGCATGTACGAGGGAAAACTCAAGGACCTGGAAACAGATGTTAGCAAAAAGGTGATATGATTCAGTAGAATTTCATTTGTGAGAGACAGATATATGTATTTCTTGATATACTAGATAACCTTATATAGTGAATCATGCCGTTAATACTAAGCAAATTGTTTCGGAGGAAGCTTCGTCATAAATTTCGCTTGTTTAAGAAATCTTTTGTGAAACAAAATTGCTACTGTTGGCTTAAACAAAAATTTTATATGACCAGATTAACAGATGTTTATATAAACCAGTTGCTGATCAATTCTGTTTTGTAGAATAAGATGTTAGATGACATGAAGTCCCTGCTGAAAGAAGCAGCAGAGAGGGAACAGCTGCTACTACAGGAAAGAGACGGTCTCAAACAACAGGTACATTGACCATTGAGTACATGATGGACTAAAGGCTACATACTACCTAAATGTAACACCATAATAATTATATCTCCTTTTCAAAAGAATTCCATACAATGCTAAGGAATTGAAGTGGTAATATATTTTTATTTATCTGACCCTGCAAGAATACATGTATCAACAAAGCTAAGATAAATATGGTTTTTTTTCAGTCAGCACTGATTCATAATCCAAAATTCTTTTCGTTAGTAGTTTTAAGTTGTGTATCTATATATAGCTTGATAATGAAAGCAGATTATGTTCAACTTAAGTGTTTTGCCTATCACATCACTTTAATGAACTGCATAGTTTACTTAGCTGTATTAACAATAAGCTAGACATTGATAGACCAATTTGTTCCATGTCATCAGATTTGCATTTTTGACTAAAATTGCCTCAGTGACTCACAAAACTTCATATTATTTTATTTAAAAAGTAACTTTTGTTCACACAGTTGGCTATCCTGGAGAGGTTTCCAGCGGGCGGTCAGAAGTCAGAGGGAGGAGCAGTGAGAGAAAATCAGCAGCTCAGGTATGTATCACCATCATTGTCAAGTCTTACACAAATTTAATCTCTCAGAAATTTCTTCAAAACAAAATATGGCAATGAACAGGATTATAGGTCACATCACAATTCGTTCATCATTTGTGGATTCAGATCTTGTCGGTTATTTTTCCTCACTGGTGAAAATCAGTGATGGATCTTTAAGGTAAAGCACACTAGTGAAATTTGGTGGTGAATTTTATGTGAAAAACTCACTGGTGAAACTAACTGATGAATTTCATGGTTAAAGCTCACTGGTGAAACCTGGTGATGAATCTCATGGTTAAATCTTCCTGGTGAAACTCACTGATGAACATCATGGGTTAAGCTCACTGGTGAAACCTAGTGAATCTCATGGGTTAAGCTCACTGATGAAACCTGGTGATGAATCTCATGGTTAAAGTTCACTGGTGAATCTTGGTGATGAATCTCATGGTTAAGTTCACTGGTGAAACCTGGTGATTAATCTCATGTTAAAGTTCACTGGTGAAACCTGGTGATAAATTTTATGGGTTAAGCTCACTGGTGAAACCTGGTGATGAATCTCATGGTTAAAGTTCACTGGTGAATCTTGGTGATGAATCTCATGGTTAAAGTTCACTGGTGAATCTTGGTGATGAATCTCATGGTTAAGTTCACTGGTGAAACCTGGTGATTAATCTCATGTTAAAGTTCACTGGTGAAACCTGGTGATAAATCTCATGGGTTAAGCTCACTGGTGAAACCTGGTGATGAATCTCATAGGTTAAAGCTCACTGGTGAAACCTGGTGATGAATCTCATGGTTAAATTTCACTGATGAAACCTGGTGATGAATCTCATGGTTAAAGTTCACTGGTGAAACCTGGTGATTAATCTCATGTTAAAGTTCACTGGTGAAACCTGGTGATAAATTTTATGGGTTAAGCTCACTGGTGAAACCTGGTGATGAATCTCATGGTTAAAGCTCACTGGTGAAACCTGGTGGTGAATCTCAGGTTAAAGTTCACTGGTGAAACCTGATGATGAATCTCATGGTTAAGTTCACTGGTGAAACCTGGTGATGAATCTCATGTTAAAGTTCACTGGTGAAACCTGGTGATAAATCTCATGGGTTAAGCTCACTGGTGAAACCTGGTGATGAATCTCATAGGTTAAAGCTCACTGGTGAAACCTGGTGATGAATCTCATGGTTAAATTTCACTGATGAAACCTGGTGATTAATCTCATTGGTTAAGTTCACTGGTGAAACCTGGTGATGAATCTCATGTTAAAGTTCACTGGTGAAACCTGGTGATGAATCTCATGGGTTGAAGTTCACTGGTGAAACCTGGTGATTAATCTCAAGGGTTAAAGTTCACTGGTGAAACCTGGTGATGAATCTCATGGGTTAAGCTCACTGGTGAAACCTGGTGATTAATCTCATTGGTTAAGTTCACTGGTGAAACCTGGTGATGAATCTCATGTTAAAGTTCACTGGTGAAACCTGGTGATGAATCTCATGGGTTGAAGTTCACTGGTGAAACCTGGTGATTAATCTCAAGGGTTAAAGTTCACTGGTGAAACCTGGTGATGAATCTCATGGGTTAAGCTCACTGGTGAAACCTGGTGATGAATCTCATCGTTTAAGTTCACTGGTAAAACTCACTGATGAATCTCATGGGTTAAGCTCACTGGTGAAACCTGGTGATTAATCTCATGGTTGAAGCTCACTGGTGAAACCTGATGGTGAATCTCATGGGTTAAGCTCACTGAGACACTCACTGATGAATTTTATGGGTAAAGTTCACTAGTGAAGCTCAGTAATGGCTTGTATGGGTAAAGGTCAATGTTGAAACCTATGAGTGAAACTTACTGGTGAGGTTCACTTATGGCGAAAATAAATGATAAACACATGATGAAGCCCAATAAGGAATCTCATGGATGAAGCTTACTAATTAAACCTTTAGATGTAGCTCTCTGATGTGATTTATAGGTAAAGCTTATTTATTAGTGAAGCTGACTAAAATCCCATTAGTAAAGCTCACTTATGAAGCTAATGTGCGAGGTTCACTAATGAAGCTTATTAGTGTTACACAGTCTAGCATTTTTTCAAAATGAATCAGCAGAGTATATGAAACTGGCCATACTTACATTATCAAACATTTCCTTATTCAAGCTAAGTAACATTTACTTTCATGTCTACAATTGAAAAGTTCATTACTGTGAACTTGTTAGTGGTGTCATAACTTTTTTTCCTAACAATACACATACTTGACAAAAATCTAAGCAAGTATCAGATATACTGATATTTCTTTTACAGACTGAAAGTTGACAGATTAGAAAATGAGAAGAAAGAGTTAAATTATCAACTACAGCTTCTAAGACAAGGAAGTGAACAGGTAAATATGATTACTGTAATACTGTAACAGGTAAATATGATTACTGTAATACTGTCACAGGTAAATATGATTACTGTAACACTGTCACAGGTAAATATGATTACTGTAATACTGTAACAGGTAAATATGATTACTGTAACACTGTCACAGGTAAATATGATTACTGTAATACTGTAACAGGTAAATATGATTACTGTAATACTGTAACAGGTAAATATGATTACTGTAATACTGTCACAGGTAAATATGATTACTGTAATACTGTCACAGGTAAATATGATTACTGTAATACTGTCACAGGTAAATATGATTTCTGTAACAGGTAAATATGATTACTGTAATACTGTAACAGGTAAATATGATTACTGTAATACTGTAACAGGTAAATATGATTAATGTAACACTGTCACAGGTAAATATGATTACTGTAATACTGTAACAGGTAAATATGATTACTGTAATACTGTAACAGGTAAATATGATTACTGTAACACTGTCACAGGTAAATATGATTACTGTAATACTGTAACAGGTAAATATGATTACTGTAATACTGTAACAGGTAAATATGATTTCTGTAACAGGTAAATATGATTACTGTAATACTGTAACAGGTAAATATGATTACTGTAATACTGTAACAAGTGAATATAAAGATCACTTATCATTGTAGATATCAATATTATGTAACTTGGTATGCAGAGAACTTCTGGATGAATGACAGTTTATTAATATTTTTGTTAGAAATATTGGAGGAATGCTGTTTGAATGTCAACTAGGATGTTAATATATAAAGTGTGATATTTATGAACATTGTAAAAATTTGCTTCTTTTATATCAAATGAATCAAAATAAATACAAAGCAAATTTTAAAATTGTAGCCAAGTGAAGATATGCTTGCCAAAGTCAGTGCCTATGATCGCCTTATGAATGAGAATGTGGAACTCAAGATGAATCTCAAAACACTATCAACAGAAAAAGACCGACAAAGACTGGAGACAGAGAGGGTTTGTGTCATTTCCTCCTTCAGTAGACACTAATTATATCCAGGCTCATCAAGTTGATCTATATATTCAAATATCTAATGTCATAATATCTCAGGGTCACTGGGATCAGTCAGATTTAACGGTTAGCAGTTCACAAGGTCTTTTGGTATTCACAAAAGCCTTCAAATGTTCAATTTCTCAGAAATAATTGAAGCAACATGTTACGCTCTGATGAAACCGTAGTTGTGTATTCATCAGACTTGGGTTTGTAATCTGTTTAAGAAAGTGTGTACATCACCCAGCCCCACCTAAGAGAGGGAAGTTGGAACACAGAGATCAGAGATCATAGACATCAGATTATTTTCAATCTCACTTGTTTCAACTTTCAAAGTTAATCTGTAAAAGACATTTAATTTGTATGTTCAGTTCATACTTTAAGGAGGGACTTTTGCGCCACAGAATTCCAACAACAATGATAATTTCCTACAAGTTTTCTGTGTTTTCGTCCGTTTTTATGTATATCGTATTTTCTGGCCTATAAGTCGGGGGTTCTTTCCCTCGTGAGTCCGGCATGTGGCTTATATGCCAGTATGGTTAAAATTGTGTTACATTTGATTCTCTAAAACTTGGCTATTATTTTGATTCAATTTTTATTTCAATGATGTCATTCCAGTTGAAGAAAGAGCTCAACAACTTCGGCCCAGACTTTTTCGAGGAGGTTGAAGACTTAAAGTATAATTACAAACAGTCAGTGGAGAAAAATGTTTTATATGAGGAAAAACTACAGCAGTTATCACAACAGCTGGGAATAGATATCACAATTCCTGGGATACACTGACCAAAACTCCATGGATACTCTGACGAAAGAGAGACCAGGCATTCTTCGTTTAAATATTTGTTTATGATTGGCTGAGGTGAAATTATAGATCTCTGACCATGTGATAACCAGTTTTCTGTCATAGTGGAAAAAAATATATCAAGTAGTAGTTGATAACTATTCAGGAATAATTATAGGAAAAAAAATTTTCTGCAACCATCGTCTTTTCTTAAATGGTTGTTGGAACTTTTTTTTGCAATCATAACACAAATAGCTCTCATCTAGCAGTGACTATGTATATCCTTGAAACGTTGTGGAAAAATGAGTCACTAGGTAAATTCTATTGATAGCAAATTGTTAGTGTGTGCTAGTGTGTATGTTGCCTTTGACCTTTATACATGTTGGTGTAAAGTTTTGGTATCTGTGATATTTGTAGAATGTTTACATATTTATGTTTATACATTAACTTATATACATGTTTAGTACCGATATGTATGACCTCTCAGTTACTGTAGATATAGACAGTCAGGATTTCTGAAAAAGTTTATCTTTTTCATATCAAGGTTTTCAAAATACACAATATATTTCGCAGCGTAATCAAAGTTCCATATCACAAATACGACAACTTCTGTCATTCCCATTTCTCAGAAAATTATATAAAATGTACCATTTTACCTTTAAATTGTTTCAACATTTGTATTCTTTGAATAGCACATGCATCTAAGAAAATGGAACAACTTTGAAAATGTTAGTATTTCACAAAAAAAAAAAAGTCATATTTTTGGATTTTTTGTATCATTTATCTAATAGTTGTTTTAAATCTTTACATAAATCATCCTTACAAGAATATAAATAATATCTCCTCAAGGAATCCGTCCAAGGTGGTATATACAGGTTAGATCCAATTAAATGTATTAGTGCATTAATATGTTTTCGGAAAATAAAATATAAACAATATTGAAGTCTTCTAGTTTTAATTTCAAAATCATTAGCAACCAAAAAATAACTAATTACTGATAGCAGACTGCTAAACCTTACAAGTTTCTCTGCTTTTGGAGAGAAGAATTAGTAGGAAGAATGTATTTATGCAAACAAACTTCAAAACTTTTGTCTCATTCCAGCAGACAACGGTCCATATTTCATGACCATTTGTCTCTTTAATGTGCTGAAAAATTGTGTAAGGTTATGAACAAATCTCGCCAAAGTGACATTAAAAGTAGGTCAAGGTTATTCACATCAGTTACTGCATTCCCATCATGATACTGGCCGAATGTTTTGACTCTAAGCCTTTTGTTTATTCATAAGGAGTTTAAATGCCTATTCACAATTTTACCTCTAGCCTTGAAAATGGTTCAAAGTCATTCATTATAACAACTTGTTGCCATAAATTGTATGGAAAATTTCAAAACTTCAACCTCATATTATCCAGACGAGACTGTTTCAATATTGATGTACATTTGACTACCTGAGATCTTGGCAATAGGTAAAAGCATCTGAATGAACAAGGCATCTCTTCATCATGATTCTGGATTACTTTTTTATTTAAAAGAAATACTGTCCAATAATTTGATCCTGTGACCTTGACAGTAGGTAAAGGTCATTCTTTTTTACGACATCTTTCCGCTATTCAAACTACTGACCAAACACTATATGATCTTTGGCTTCATGATTATTCAAAATAGAGCAAACCCTTTACAGTTATTTTTCTTCAGTAGGATTGCAATGATTCTGTTCCAATCGGTCTGAAGCAGAAGACGCTTACTCTTCCAGAACATCTGGTCTTATTCTCCTTGTACTTTTTCAGGAGTCTTTGTGCAAATATTTCTTTTGTTCATATTTTGCCCTAGTGTTATGGAATTTTGAGTTTGGATTTGATTATATTGTCATCTTGGTGTTTTCTTGATGGTTTTTGCCTGAAAGGCATTTTTTTTATTGGAGAAGGAGGGGCAAAGCCCAATAGGGGAAATAGAGGAACTTCATGAAAATCCTTGTTCAAGCTTCAGTAGAAATGTCGGAATGCTGTCCCAATACAGTCTAGATCATCCTGGGGTGAAGGGAATCTATTTTGTATAAACCGTGGCTGTCAGCCACCTAGAAACAGGAGGGGGAGGATATAAAATGGGAATTAGAGCACATTTTGTAAAACCCTTCTTCCTCTGTTGGATGGATTTAGTCCTAATTTGGCTTGAATCCTCTTTCTGTAAAGGAGAATCAGTTTTATGTGAACAGTGAGTCTTGATCCCAGGGATGGGAGGGGTGGATCCCAGTATTAGAAAATAAGAGGAAATTCGGTAGAATCTGTCGTCTTCTGTAGGAACGTGTCGACCAAGTCCTAATTTGGGCTTAAGTATCCATGGGTGAAGGGAAATAAATTTGTAGAAGAATGGGCCTCCAATGCCAAAAATTGGATCTGCAATGGGAAAGATTGGGCCTGCAATGGGAAAGATTGGGTCTGCAATGGGAAAGATTGGGCCTGTAATGGGAAAGATTGGGCCCAGTATTGGAAATGCTTGATTTTGACATTGGATTTTCCTCAGTCGTTTCCTAGGTTTAAAATTTAGGCCCTTAGAAAATATCAGTCAGAAATGCCTTGAGGAACTGGGTCTTAAAACTTAAGAAGAGAATTTTTATTCTAAAAGTTTTGTAATGTGACCTTGAAAAGATGTCAATTTTATTAGGAAACTCATATAACCTAAGCTCGAAAGCAATTTGTGTCCCGTGATGTAAAGATTGTCACAAGACAAGCAGCATACTTGAATGAACCAATGAATAACAGAAGGCATATGATCTTTATAATTATGACACTTTTTTTATTAAATCAACATCCATAATGCAAAATTACTTTCTCCTGTCATGCATTATATATAGAATTTGTTGTATGTATCATCACAGACTTTGTGGTATCACATTGTGATATATAGCATATATGTCTTGTATATCAATACAATGCAGTTATATAAAACAATAATATATAAATTCATAAAGAAATTCATTGAAAAATAATCCAGTATCAAAATACCACACATTCTGTCACAGTTACCACCTTAGTAACTGTACATACTATATATTTTTCAGGAATTGAGATACAAAAATACACAGGAGTTACCTCCCATGCTTCAGTCATCAATGCATATTAATATCAATCGTGTATTGTATAAATATAACTCTCAGAGCCTCTATCTTAAGCTTCCTGCCCACCATTGTTTGACTTGCATTATTTCTTTAAAAGGTCTTATCTTTTCCCATCTTTTCTTTCCCGTTTAGTTCTCGATTACATGAAATTTGAAAATCCCTCTACAGAAATAGTGATAATAATTTTAAAAGACCAAATCCAAGAGAGTTGCCAGTCTGCCATTTTGTTTATATGATCAGTCAAAAAATTGAAAAAAAACACAACTAGGGAGTAAGGGTGATTTACAAGTTCATATGAAACATGAGGAAGATCCATCTTGTACTTTTCATTAAATAGCTATAATTTTAATTTAAAAAAAAAAAAAAAATCGACATGGCCGCCTGACAGCCATTTTGTTTTTTGATTGGTCCAACAATGAAAAGCGCACAACTAGGAACCAAAGAGAACCTTCGTATGGAATTTTGAAAGATTAATCCATTACTTTTCAAGAAATAGCAATAAGAAGAGTTATTCAGGGACTAATGACTGATCAGAGAGGTTATGTAATTGCAACATCCCACTATCTGATGAAGGTGGACTAATCAGATAGAGGGCTCAATTGAAAAAAATTACTGAAAGGAGGGGCAATATTCAAATCATGTGATGTTTCAGGATTTCTTTCTTTCAATAAAACCTTAAAAATGTTGACGTACTATAAGACATATGGTGAACAGTATATCATTGTATCAATGACTATAAAAAGTATACGGACTATTATGGTGTTCTTAAAGTCTTAACATTGGAATGATTTGCAAAACAAGAAAACCAGAGGAATACCTCTCACAGGTATTTTAACAATCATGGCACATGCTAAGTTGTTTTCCTACTACAACGCAGATATTACCTAAAAAGGTATTGACAATAATACTGGGGAGATGTACGGGAAGGTAACTCCATCATCCAGAAATCCACCATCTCAACGCATCATTTTATAAAAATTACTGGAGAGAGATTTCGAAACGGCGTTACACCACTGAGAAGTTACAGAGCTTGTGTACAAAGGATATCATTTAAAAGTGTATTATGACAATTGTACTAGAAAGACAAACCGGAAAGGAGCTCCATCTCCCAGAAAAATAACCAAGCTCAGGGACAAAGAATATTACCTAAACGTGTATTGTAACAATTCTACAGGAAAAATGCCAGCACTTTTATTCAGCAAATACTTTGGCTAGGTGATAATATAAAAGGTTGGTTTCTTTCCAATCTATTCTTTCCATTGCAACGTGTAGAATAGACCTTCCATACCAGTCAATTATATTTGTGATGTCATACCTTTCTCCCGTTGATTCTAGGTACTGTTTTACATAAGTCTCACATGTCTGGAACCAGCCCACATCATCGAAATACATATACTCAGCTACGTAATGTAGAAAATGACCGCCATTATTATCTAAATCTATGGTCAGCGATGGAAAATTCTCGCATAAATATTCACAAATCACCTCATTTTCTTCCATACAACTAACATGTAATGCAGTCCGTCCTTCATCATCTACAGCTGCTGTCAGCGCTGGGAAGGTTTCACACAAATATACACAAACCTCTTTGTGTCCTCCCCTACAACTAACATGTAACACCGTCTGTCCTTCATCATCCACTAACTTCGACATGTATTGAGCACACGCACAACTCCTGTGTACAATATGTCCGTCTACTGTCTCACATTTGTTTTGTTCACGTTCAACTCTACAGAGACTTTCCAATGTAGTTGTTTCGACTTTCTGGAATAAACAACAATTTCCTGTCTCTGCCACCACCTGGAGTGGGGTTTGTCCTTCTTCATTAGTGTCATGTACCAAATATGGATAAGAATCACACAACATGGTCACCATCTCATTTCTCTCATACTGACATGCCTTATGTAGGGCATTGTCATTGTTACCATCCCTCGATGTTGGAGTGATGCCATACTGCAGTAGTTTCCTAAACAAATTTACACTCCCTCCCTTCGCCACATGCAACATTGTGTCCTTGTCAGGTTTGACGCCTTCTCTCAGAAGATACAAAACACATTCTTCTGAACCAGAATCACAAGCTCTATTCAACAAGACAAGTTTGTTCTCATCATTCAGGTATGTAACAACTTTTTTGAGTACATCCACATCTCCCTTACCTCTATACCTATCACCTGAAATCAATGGCCAACATTTTGTATCCTTGTCAGGTTTGACTCCTTCTCTCAGAAGATACAAAGCACATTCTTCTGAACCAGAATCACAAGCTCTATTCAACAAGACAAGTTTGTTCTCATCATTCAGGTATGTAACAACTTTTTTGAGTACATCCACATCTCCCTTACCTCCATACCTATCACCTGAAATCAATGGCCAACATTCTGTATCCTTGTCAGGTCTGACTCCTTCCCTCAGAAGATACAAAGCACATTCTTCTGAACCAGAATCACATGCATTCTTCAACAAGTCAAGTTTTATCTCTTCATTCAGGTATGTAACAACTTCCTTAAGTACATTCACATCTCCCTTTCCACCTCTAAATATGTAACCTCCTAAAATCATTAGCCATATCTGTGTGGCTTTGTCAGGTTTAACTCCCTTTCTCAAAAGATATAACACACATTCCTTTGCACCATTATAGCATGCCTTATTTAACATATCAAGTTCATTAACCTCTTTATAATTCAACCATCTGAAAAATCTTTCAACAAATACCCGATCCTTCCAAATTTCTAGAGAGCCAATAATAACATCATATGTGTTACACTCAAATGCTCGGAGAAGACGTTCACACAAACATGTATAATGATCAGGTGATATGACAACCATGTTTGAGGATGTTTCTGAGGTTGTTAGATACCTTAGGAATTCCCTGGGACAATACTTTATGTAACCAAATGGTGTTTTCTTTCCATACAAAAGAGCTACTGTGACATTTATAGAAGCATGACTAAATCTGTATACACCACCGTGAAGCCATCTTTTCTCCTTCACCACTAAACCTCCTAATAACTTCTCTAAACTTTCTTTTACAAATCCAATTCTTTCCATATCTGTCATTTGGGCTCTGTTGTCTCCTCCATCAAACAGTTTGATGTTAAAGGCTTGATCTAACAATGTTTTGTATTTTGTGTTGATTTTATCACTGTTTGGATCTAGATCTGTTGCTTTTACCTTCCCTCCACTGAGGAAGAGAAACAAGATGGCAGAACATTGTGGTAGTCTTGCCAATGTTTCAATAAAAAATTTGATAGGAGTCTTAAAAAATTGTGTCCGATTTTTCTGCAATTCTGTGACGTTACGAAAAAGGTAACAACACTGTGGAAATCCAAACTTCGGTGAGCAAATTAAAATCTCATCTCTTTCTATCTGTGTCCATGAAAAATTCTCATCTTCTGGTTTATACAACTCTAAAAGGCTTTTTCTTTCCTCTAAAATTTTGTACTTATCTGAACTTAGATCAATGATATTTTCTTCATTGAAAACTTTTCCCAAAGAAGATTTTTTCAAAGCATTAAATATTTCATTACGGATTGTAATAAGCAAAAAATTGGGCTCAATTTGTTCGTCAAGAAAAAGTGTCTCTACATCTGTGATTCTTTCGTCCCACTCATCAATTCTACCTAAATCTTTCTTTCCAAAAATATCATCAATAAAAGCAATCAGATTTGAACTTGGTGACATTAAATCTAAATTCTCTATTTTGTGAAGCTGAAGTGGATTTCTGCATTGCTGCTCCTCGACCAGCCAGTCCATGAGTCGAATGGCGTAAGAGGTCTTGCCGTCACCTATGTTACCCTTTATAACTACAATCTTGTTCTTTGGAAGTTTCTCTTGAGCATCACGGAAAGCTTTGGTCTTCAAAAATGTTTTCTCCTTTATTTCTGTTTTGATCTTTTTTTTGGCTTTGGCTGTAAGAATAGAAAGGAGATGTTAATGATGTACATTTAGGTAAAATTAATAACGAGACTGGTACCAATAGGACTTCTATAAGTTATTGATCTGTATGTCCTTGTACATCACTAATAATACTAAAAGGTATCATTTGTAAGACATAGATGTATTCTATATCTGCACTTCTTCTTGGTGTATAGGGGCTGAGTCTCTGCCCTAGATGCTATGAACTTAAAACTGAGTTCACTTCATTTAATGATGCTTTAGACCAAATTTAATCAACATTAAACGATGTACTAAATTCCCCTTTGTTTGGCCCCGTCGTGTAGAAAGCCACGTATGATCTTTATAAGTTAAAAAACAAATCTGAAAAAAGAAACAGGTTTTAATATATGTAAATAGAACTGCTTCTTCTACCTGGTTCAATCCCTCTAATCCAAAGATGTCTAAATTCTCTGTTAAGAAATTTTTTAACTTAATGCTAGTGATCTTGACCACTGATCCCTGGATTCCAAACACAAGCCTCTATTTGAAAGTGACTTCACTTCACCCATGGATGCTTCAGACCAAATTATGACAAAATTAAATCATCCATGCAGAATAAGAACAATTCTCAAGAATTAGCTCTATTGGACCCCGCCCTTCTTGTCCCTTGAGAGTTCTGATCCTTCACCAAAGAATGCTTCAGACCAAATTTGGAAAAAGTCAATCATTTCTACAAAAGAAGACAGATTTTAGAGAGCTTGTCTGATTTGGCCTTGCCACTAAGGCCCCAGGGGGATCAGACTCACCATTTATACAAAACTGAGTCCCCTTTCTCCAAGGACACTTCTAACCAAATACAGCAAAATCAAACCATTACTGCACGATCATGATGATCTGATAGCTTTTCATGTTATCATTGATATTTGAAATAGTTTTACTTATAAAAATAAGGAGAATGCTTTTTGAATGTATTTAATTGACTGGAGGTATTAAACTCTCACCAGAACGTGACCCATTATGTACATTAAGATAGATTCTGTTATAGTAACAAAGAGAAGGATTTGATGGATAAAATGGTTTTCCTTTTGTAAAAAGAGTAAAACATCTTGTTCAAATTTGACTTAATGTTATACTCCATTAATGATACATGTTGTTTCTATCATGGTTTGAGGGATGTATTTTCCCACATCATGATTCACCTTCTCCCCATTGGCAAGACTCACCTATCATGGGTACTAGGTCGTCATGGATTTCTGTAATATAAAAAGATTCATTTAAGTACATATAACAAAGTTACACAAGAATGATTACAGATGGAATTCAACCAATTACACATGATTTGTTAGACTGGGTGTTCTTTGATCCCAACAGACACTTGGACGGACACGAAGGAACTGGAATATCTGCCCAGCATAATGTCCAGTATGTGGCGTTGGGAAACTGGAGGAAACTTAAGACTCCAAACATGTCTGAAGTCACTCCATGTGTGCTACTCTGTAGTATTGTAAACACTCAGTAATTGCTAAATGTATTGTATACTACTGAGGAAACATCAGACATGTTTAACTCAACTTACAATGTATGTCAATTTATGTCATATAATTTACATTGGTATACATTTCACTCACATCAACTGACAATAACCAAGACAATTTGGCAAATCAATCCATCGACATACCATCTCATCCAGGTGAACCCATACACTAAGTGTTAATACCAGAGACTAATAGTGTAAGAGATATTGATGCTAAGCCTGGACAACAAAGTGGTAAGTTCGCGGACAAATGTGTAACCATAGTTTCCACCCATGACTCCATCCCTTCGTTGAACTAAAACCATGTCCTATAATCTACACTATCACTATCTACTACATCCAGTCTCGGGCCTGCTACAGCAGCTTCAGAGAATGCTGGACTCTATCTACATGTGAGTCTTTTTATACTACAGGGATATTAGTCACCAACTGTCACATGAGATATATACTACTGGGATAGAAGTCACCAACTGTCACATGAGATATATACTTCAGGGATATTAGTCACCAACTGTCACATGAAATATATACTACTGGGATATCAGTCACTTACTGTCACATGGGATATATACTACAGGGATATATACTTCAGGGATATTAGTCACCAACTGTCACGTGAGATATATACTACTGGGATATCAGTCACTTACTGTCACATGGGATATATACTACAGGGATATTAGTCACCAACTGTCACATGAGATATATACTACAGGGGTATTAGTCACCAACTGTCACATGAGATATATACTACAGGGATATTAGTCACCAACTGTCACATGAGATATATACTACAGGGATATTAGTCACCAACTGTCACATGAGATATATACTACAGGGATATTAGTCACCAACTGTCACATGAGATATACACTACAGGGATATATACTACAGGGATATCAGTCACCAACTGTCACATGAGATATACACTACAGGGATATATACTACAGGGATATCAGTCACCAACTGTCACAAGAGATATATACTACAGGGATGTTAGTCACCAACTGTCACATGAGATATATACTACAAGGATATTAGTCACCAACTGTCACATGAGATATATACTACAGGGATATTAGTCACCAACTGTCACATGAGATATATACTACAGGGATATTAGTCACCAACTGTCACATGAGATATATACTACAGGGATAGTAGTCACCAACTGTCACATGAGATGTATACTACAGGGACATTAGTCACCAACTGTCACATGAGATATATACTACAGGGATATTAGTCACCAACTGTCACATGAAATATATACTACTGGGATATTAGTCACCTACTGTCAAATGAAATATATACTACTGGGATATTAGTCACCAACTCTCACATGAGATATATACTACAGAGATATCAGTCACTTACTGTCACATGAGATATATACTACAGGGATATTAGTCACCAACTGTCACATGAGATATATACTACAGGGATATTAGTCACCAACTGTCACATGAGATATATACTACTAGGATATTAGTCACCAACTGTCACATGAGATATATACTACTGGGATATTAGTCACAAACTGTCACATGAGATATATACTACAGGGATATTAGTCACCAACTGTCACATGAGATATATACTACAGGGTTATTAGTCATCAACTGTCACATGAGATACACACTACACAGATATTAGTCATCAACTGTCACATGAGATATATACTACAGGGTTATTAGTCATCAACTGTCACATGAGATACACACTACAGAGATATTAGTCACCAACTGTCACATGAGATATACTACTGGGATATTAGTCATCAACTGTCACATGAGATACACACTACAGAGATATTAGTCACCAACTGTCACATGAGATGTATACTACAGAGATATTAGTCACCAACTGTCACACGAGATATATACTACAGGGATATTAGTCACCAACTGTCACATGAGATGTATACTACTGGGGTATTAGTCACCAACTGTCACATGAAATATATACTACAGGGATATTAGTCACCAACTGTCACATGAGATATATACTACAGGGATATTAGTCACTTACTGTCACATGAGATATATACTACAGGGATATTAGTCACCAACTGTCAGGTTTACGTCTAACTTTCTGTAACCCGCACACTGTTTATTTAGATTCTTTTTCAAGTTCTTAGAAGAACCATATTATACAATAACACAGCAGTGAACAAGCTACAAAGGACTAGGATAATATGTAAAGGGAGCTCTACAACCTACTCTGTGTTTCCTGGCTTGTGCTGGCTGTTGGTGTATTCACAGCAGACAGGTTTGCTGAAAGAACAGAAAAAATACTAGTATTTACAGAAGATATTGAAACAAACTCTGATAGCTTAGAGTTAATAATCTTATTTTAATACATTCATATTATTCTTCTATCGACCATTCAAAAGTCATCCAGCTGACCTGATGACAGAACAAAAAAAATACATTCAAGCTAAAAGATATATGGCATCTTATTTGTCATAATACACTCACACAGCCAACTTGTACATTTGTGTACATTTCACATGTAATACTCACACAGCCAATCTGTACTTTTGTGTAAATTTCACATGTACTACCCACACAACCAAACTGTACTTGTGTGTACATCTCACATGTACAACATAAAAACCAAACTGTACTTTTGTGTACATCTCACATGTACAACATAAAAACCAACCTGTACTTTAGTATACCTCTCACATGTACTATTCACACAGCCAACCTGTACATGTGTGTACATCTCACATGTACTACTCACACAGCCAATCTGTACTTTTGTGTACATCTCACATGTACTACTCACACAACCAAACTGTACTTTTGTGTACATTTCACATGTACAACATAAAAACCAACCTGTACTTTTGTATACCTCTCACATGTACTATTCACACAGCCAACCTGTACATGTGTGTACATCTCACATGTACTACCCACACAACCAAACTGTACTTTTGTGTACATCTTGCATGTACAACATATAAACCAACCTGTACTTTTGTGTACATCTCACATGTACTTTTCACACAACCAAACTGTACCTTTGTGTACATCTCGGATGTACTTCTCACACAACTAAACTGTACTTGTGTGTACATCTCACATGTACAACATAAAAACCAACCTGTACTTTAGTATACCTCTCACATGTACTATTCACACAGCCAACCTGTACATGTGTGTACATCTCACATGTACTACTCACACAGCCAATCTGTACTTTTGTGTACATCTCACATGTACTACTCACACAACCAAACTGTACTTTTGTGTACATTTCACATGTACAACATAAAAACCAACCTGTACTTTTATATACCTCTCACATGTACTATTCACACAGCCAACCTGTACATGTGTGTACATCTCACATGTACTACTCACACAGCCAATCTGTACTTTTGTGTACATCTCACATGTACTACCCACACAACCAAACTGTACTTTTGTGTACATCTTGCATGTACAACATATAAACCAACCTGTACTTTTGTGTACATCTCACATGTACTTTTCACACAACCAAACTGTACTTTTGTGTACATCTCGGATGTACTTCTCACTTAACCAAACTGTACTTGTGTGTACATTTCACATGCACTACTCACACAACCAAACTGTACTTGTGTGTACACCTCACATGTACTACTCACACAACCAAAGTGTACTTGTGTGTACATCTCACATGTACTACTCACACAGCCAACTTGTACTTGTGTGTACATCTCAGAAAGAACTACTCACACAACCAATCTGTACTTGTGTGTACATCTCACATGTACTACTCACACAGCCAATCTGTACTTGGGAGTACATCTCACATGTACTACTCACACAGCCAATCTGTACTTGGGTGTACATCTTACATGTACTACTCACATAACCTGTACTTGGGTGTACATCTTACATGTACTACTCACACAGTCAACCTGTACTTGTGTGTACATCTCACATGTACTACTCACATAACCAAACTACTTTTGTGTACATCTCACATTTAGTTCTTACATAAATAACCTGTACTTGTGTTTTCATTTCAAATAATCACAAATATCCTCTTATGCCTCATTCCTCACCCTTACAACTCACATTTTCTACTAACACAACTAACCTGTACTTGTGACTACTTAATACAACCAACCAACACTATTATTGTAATGTTTGAAAACATACCTGTAGGTTGTTGTTGACTTTCCTCTCTCCTGATATGTTTGGTTGGTGATGGACCTAAAAGTAAAAACAACAGAGTCATATAGATACAGAAAACACTCATTCCTCTTAGCTACATACATATCCAGAACCTTTATATATCTTTTCTTTTTTAATATAAATTGAAAACTGACTGAAGCACCAGTGTATAATTAAGTTCCTGTGCCTATCCTGTGTTGTTATAGCCAGTATCGGTGAAATACATGTACTTGATACCACCAAAGGTGGAGTTGGACTCTTTAACATATAATTTGACATTTCCCAAAAGCATCCAGTCACACAGACATTGGCTGAAGTTCCCATCTTAAACAAAAATTTAGATCACAAAGAACTTGAATTACCCTCTAAAACCAGAATCAAATCTTATCTTAACTTAAAAGGTCATATCCACATCATTCATAATGGTTAGTGTGAACAAGCTGAACACCTTTTAATGGACTTTGGGAATCAATCATACTTAGTTAAACATCAGCTTCCAGTCTGGTTTAATATCTTATACATGCAAAATTATGTACCAGAATCTTCTGATTAACTGCAAATTTAAATGTACTTACCATCATCATTCAGAATAGCCTTTATTTCATCTTCTTTCTTCTGAACATGAATTGCCAGCTGAGGATGCACACGCCGCAATTTTTGTATCAATTTGGCATAGTTCCCAATATCTATAATTGTATGTTTTATTAGAGCATTGACTAGAGCACGAACACTTTTTATATTAACCAGCTCTGCTGTTTTAAATGGAATGTCAGTGAAAAAATCCCTCAATCGTTCAAACGCACTTTCGTCAAGCTTCTGACCAATATAATCTACCAAGTCATTGTGGACATCTATGGCAGATTCTTGGCAACTAGTCAATTCTTGTTTGGTTTCCATTTTTGAAGTTGTTTCTCACAAACCTAAAAATCAAACACATTAAACTTAATTCAGAGATATACCTGTAAAGTGCTGAGGCGTCATAAATAGAGAGAACAATTACACAATGAAATAAGATGGAACAGAATGACCACCTTATTATACTTATACACAATATTCATAGTAATAGACATTCAGTCTCTAATAATTTTTTTTTATATTCATTTTATTTTTCAACGCATTTTAAACATACAACCTTGCACACCTCACAAACCAAAGCAATTGTACACCTCATGCATCTTATTGTACAGTCATCATCATCATCATCCTCCCTTGTACAATCAACAACATCATCATTATCTTCCTCATCATCATTGCATATACAAACATCATCATCATCATCCCTTTTACAATCATCATCATCATCATCAACAACATCATCATCATCTTCCTCATCATCCCTTGTACAATCAACAACATCATCATTATCTTCCTCATCATCATCATCATCATCATCATCATCATCATCAACAACAACATCATCATCTTCCTCATCATCATCGCATATACAAACATCATCATCATCATAATCATCATCATCATCATCATCATCATCATCATCATCATCATCAACAACAACATCATCATCAACAACATCATCATCCCATATGCAAACATCATCAACATCCATTGTCCAATCATCATGTCATGTACAATCATCATCATACCATATACAATCAGTATCATCCATGTACAATCATTTTCACTCACTCAGTCATCATCATCATCATCATCATCATCATTATTACTAGATATACAAGTACACAAACTTTCCCACCCACACATACCACAAAATGAGAGAAGAAAAATCAGCAAAAAAATGTATTGAAATGGAGAGAGTAAATAATACGGAGAGAGAGGGAGAGAAAGAGAGAGAGGGAGAGAAAGAGAGAGAGGGAGAGAGAGAGTTTACTGGGCTAGAGGTGAGATCTGATTTAATCATCCAAAAAATCAAAACAAAGATTTAGCGTCTGGTGGGATAAAATAAATTTCTCGGAAGAACTTCTAAATGTAAATGAACAACCAAGAGAAATACAAATTATTCTATAAATATATACCTGTATACAATGAAAAGATGTCAAAGCTCTTAAAATGTACCCTGGAAGTTCACAAATATATTCACAGATGAATTAGTCTGAGATTTCTAACAATTTCTCCCATTTTATCCATTCAGCCCTAAACTTCTACTGGGAAAGATCCCCTTCACTATAAGCAATACTTTTTTGACACATATAATACTCTTTAATTGAACTGATTAAAACTGTCAGATTTAAGGCTTCATGTAGACATCTTGTTTTGTATAAGTAAAATTTGATTAAAATTAAAATTACATTATCTGTCTTATTACCTATATCATTGCCATTTTGTAATTAATTACCGAAGAGAAATCTAAACGTAGAAATATATTACAAAGGTTACACATTATTAGTTATATCAGCTTTAAACAAAAATGAATTAGTTGTTAATATATGTTGTATTATCCTACCACTGTAGTTTGGTGTTTCTTGTAACTATGAAGGGAGTTATGTAAATGTCGGACCAGTTCAATTCATTATCTTCAAAAGTCCTCTCCCATTTTGTTCTACCAGTAAAAATAATCACTTTTTTTATCAGCAGATTATAAAAACCCCTACAACCTCTAGTTCTATTTAAGAAAATCGCAATGTTATTTGGAATTAGTGGGTAGATAATTAATTGCTTATCAAATTCAACATTGCTTTTCTGTAAATATACCTTGACAGAAGAAATTAAACTCTGATATCGAAGAAAGTTAGTATTGACACTTTGCATCTCTTTGAATTCCTGAAAAATGTAAAACAATAATGTATTGTGATCTTTAAGAAGATCATTAACAATTGTTACCCTTCTGTTGTACTAATCTTTATAGAAAACTGACTTTTTTCCAATAGTAAAATCTCTATTATGCCACAATGGCATAAAGATAAAATTTTCTTGCATTTTTTAACTCCCACAGAATCATTAAGTCTTACCAAAGCTATGAATACATCTTTCCAAAATTAGTTCTTACAGTTTTTCGAACACTCTTGAATATACCCACTCCCACATGTAGAAAGTTTTTGTAAATTGAATAGCGAATTAAAAACTAATTGCCACTCAGATGGCTTCTGAATTAATCATCTAATCCAACTCAATTTCAAAGAATCTATAAATACCTTAATGTTTACCATTTTGAATCCTCCCTATATGATAATTCTGAGTCATAATATCTCTTTTTATTTTATCTACCTTACTATTCCATATAAAGCTATAAAAAAGGGAGTTTATATTCTGCAAGAAATGTTCATCAGGGTTTGGTATTGATGTAAATAAATGATTTAATTGTGAGAGCAGGAGAGATTTGATCAGAACTATTTGCCCAATGGGTGCAAGACTTCTTCTACTCCAAGTCTTAATAAGTGTCTTAAGCATAACTAGTTTTTTGTCAAAGTTAATTTTGGGAATTTCCTGTAGATTCACACTAAAATCTATTCCTAGAAGTGTAAATTTATCCCGTTCCCACTGTTCAATTCAGATAAAAAGGTATAAATACTATAAATTTTGTTCCCAATCCAAATTGAGTTTTATCAATATTAAGATTCAAAACAGATATTTTTGCAAACTTATCCAATTCAACAATAGATTCTTTCAGGGAAATTTATGAGCCATCTAATATAATGGTGGTGTCGTCGGCATATTGTGAAATGAGAAATGGACAACTATTAATCTCTATACCCTTAATTCTATAATTATTTCTGAATCTAATATCTAGTATTTCTACACATAGAATAAAAATATACATAGCTATTGGGTCGCCTTGACGACAGCCTCTTTTGACATTAACAACACACGGTTTTCCATAAGAGCCGGTTGCAGGCCAATTTGACCGACTTCTTTGATCATTTGGCCGCCTACTCCAATCCAGGCAGGCCACACCCACCTCGCCGCGTTGCGGCTCGAGTCGGCTTGCTTCGCCAGCCACCTACTTTCACTACACAGCCTACTACTAACAAAATTATGGAAAACCCTGCAACAGATAACAGGTTACCACCCTAATTTACAGCAGCTGATACATTAGTATGTTGAAATAACAATCAAAACCCCATTCGTTTCTAATAAAATTCTGGTTTTCTTCAGAATAATGTGTGTTCTGCAAACAGAAAATAGAACGTCTCTTAGATTTTAAGTATGAGAAAACGTCTTTCCTTTTAGTTATATCCCCGAGACCCTGGCAGTTTGCTGACAGAATGGATACTCCTTCCGTCACGTAACGTTTTCAAATAACAATAGAATATACTCTAGCCCAGCAACAGAGAAAGTAAAGAGAATGAAAATATATAAACATACAGAATTAAAAAAACATGTTTTGATGGTAAAAATCAAAATACAACAGTCTACTCACGTACACACAACCACGCCCGTGGGCTGGCGGAAGTAAAATTAAAAACGTAAGTAGTATACTACTTTTTAGAAACCACTCAAACGTTCCGGAATTTTGTAAATTTACCATAATACATCTACTATTTTCATCAGATCATGTATTTATCATCTCATGATTCAAACTATTTTTTAGTAATATAGATACTCCTCTGCTCTGACTGGTACCGAAGTTATGTATCATATCTCCTCGCCATTCAGCATTGATATAATTTGTCCTTTTTTATGAAATGTCTCTTGTATACACATGATATTAGCTTTTTGTTCCTTAGCCCTTGCATAAAATCTGTTTCTTTTTTGTTTTTCTCTGAGACCTGGTGTGTTTAGCGTTATACAGTGCAATTTGTATTTTATTTTGAATTTTTTTTTTCATATTTTGAAAACATTGTCTGATTTTAACTGATTAATAATTTTATGAGTTTTATCATGTAATATACAGGTATTTTTTATCATTATACATATATTTATACGTATACACCTTGTAAGACCTATTTGATATTTAGATTATGATTGTCATATGTAACATTTTTTATGTTTGTGTTGTTTTCATTATGTTGTATGACATAAATAACATTGTCTTGTTTTTCGTTGATATATGTACAATGTATATACATGTATACTATTTATGTAGTCAATATGGCATATATTCTGTATTGGATATATCTCGTGTTTCATACATATATTACCATGTTTGATTGCTTTAGTGAAATTTTCTACATTGTAAATAAACATATTTCTAACTTAATTTCTACTTTCTCTGTTATATATGATTGTATTTTCTCATAGATACTGTATTTGTAGATCTGGGACGAAAAAGGAAACAAATCCCAAAAGTTATTATTTTCCATTGATATACATTACATTTACACCTTGTTATTTACTTTGATTATTGTCCTTTGTTTTTTTCGTTGCTTTTCCTCCAGCCTCCAGCATTTCTGTCGGAGTTGATGGTGATTTACGAGACATCGACGGAGTTCCTTGGTTTAGAAACTTGTCGAGGGTGGTCAGGGTGCTGGTTTTAGTGCCTCTCTTAGTGTCTTTTTTGTGAGTCTTGTGTTTCTTTTTCTTAGATGACTGTTCACTACCAGATGGTGTCTTAACAAGACGTTCTTTTTGTTCAGCAACTAAAGTGATGGGTTCAGTTTTTGTTTCATGGTCAGTGATCATGGCATTCTCATCACCCGAATTTTCATCTGAACTTGAAGAGTCATGTTCTGATGAAATCACTTCTTTGTTGAGGGATACCGACTCTTCTTCTGGCCACCCTTGTTTACATTCTGAAACTCTATGTACTTTCAGGTTTGAAATGTGATAATTCAACTAGAGTTACCACGTGAAAATTTATTTTCTATTGACATTGACTATTGACCTTTGACATTGAAAATCAATCCTACGCAAACACCTTCAATTAGTAACTTTTGTGTGAAGCTGAGGTTGGTCAACCCAAGGACACTCAAACTAGTACATGTGTTATATGTAATTTGTTTTGGTGACCAAAAACACCAGTATGTCTCCTCTTCCAAGCATTTTGACCTTTGACCTCAATATCAAGGTAGGTGACTTTTCGGTAGTTCTTTATACATTTCCCTCAGTGATAAAGACATCTTTTATGGTTTAGGAGTTATGGCCCAAACACAATATTCATGACCTTTGATCACAAGGTCAAGGTCACATTATTGACCTTTCAGTAGTGCACTGCATATCTCCTTCAGGTGATGCAACTACAAACCAAGTTTTATGAAGATATCTTTTACAGTTTAGGAGTTATGGGCTAGGCAAAATATACAAGTGTGTTCAAACATTGAGATTTTTTTGAAAATATCTATAAAATTATTCAAATAATGAAAAGATAAATATTGTGAATTTTTGTTGATCCTACAAGAATTCGTTACCACTACAGTTAACCAATATTTCTCTCTGTATAAATCGTTGAATAAAGTTCACCTGCCAATAATAACACCAATGCATATACTCTTGTCCACTTGAGTTTAAAACAGAAATTTCCTGTTTCCTGACAACGAAATCTACAGCAACAGTCATTCTGAATTTGCTCCATATACCAGTCTACAGTAAACCATTGAGATATTGATTAAATTTATTACTTACAAAATAAGAACAGAAACATGAATTAATATCACATGATTTGTCTGGTATAAAATACATGTAATAAAAAGTAACATCAAATGTGTTTACAAACAAAAAGCCAAAATTACCATATGGTTTCTAATTGCTCACCTGCAATGCAGTGTCAAAAGGAAAAGCTGAAACAGTATATATATATATTGGCTCAAATTTGATAGCATCCCAGTATGCTACAGACAAAACAAACATCATGGGTCTTCAGATTTTCAAAATGTTACTTGGAAATTTAGACAATTTGACCTAAATCATCTAAAAAGCAATTGAAGGTCATTTCTATGTGGTAACAAACATGAAATGACTCCATTACAGCATGTTATGTGCAAAAAGACTTGAATCAAGTATCTTTGTGTTATTGAAGATGAATAAAGATCTCAAAACTGACACAAAACAGATGGATACATAAGCACAGTATAAATTAATTTGTCCTTTAGGAATCGGCCAAACTAAGTCACAAAATTAATGTAACTAGAATACTGAGGCAAGAACTGCCAAATTAAACAATAAATCAACATGTTTTAAAACTGTTCATGAACACTATTAATAATTCTATTTCTTAAAAAAATCAATGTCCATTCTTTATTAAAAAAAAGTCTTCTGAACATCCCACTATATATCACAAATCCGGGTTATGAAACAGGCCAAGATAAGATTTACTTCAGTCTTCTTTTCTGTTGCTTTACGAGCTCAGACGTTGGGAGAGGTGGTACTGGAGCAATTGTCTTCGCAACCCGTCTGAGGTCCTTTGGTGCCATAGTTGGTCCTCCCTTCATCCCAACTCAGTCTGCCAAACGGTTCTCCACTACAGACTCTACAGTCCTTCAACATGAGTGTACGACTTCTCTTCCTTGACGGCATGTACAGCCCACATGCCAGACTTTTTGTTGAAATTTCTCTGGTATCTGCAAACAGATCGTAATACCGTTGGTTGGTAATGTTAAATCCAGAAGTTCAGAGATGAACTGTATTTTTCTATTGTTCTAGTACTTCAGTCTAAAATGCATCTACTATGACATAACCTAGTGAACATGTACATTTCTCTACACCGAGTTAAATACTTTGATATGTATTACCATGATATGTAATCTGTACTTGTTCAAGAAATACAACTCTTTACCAAGGGAGCATTATCTTATGTCGAAATGTAATCTCCTGTGGAGTGAAAAAAAATTGTGCAAATTGGAAACCATGACTTTTGGTCGAAATTTCTTACAATAGATGTACATAAACAAGAATTTCATAGAAAAGTGTCGCGTGCCTAGGACAAAAATCTATTTATACTAACATTGACCTTGACCTTTGACCCTTGAACATGAAAAGCAATCCCAGTCAGGCACATTTGGTGAGGAATCACTGCAAGGAGTATGAAGTTGATAGGCCAAATGGAACTCAAGTTATCGTGAAAAACCCTTACTGCAGACGCCGACATCACCATACCTATATGTCACCTTTTGCAGGCGACACAAAAATATATTATTGCAAATCTTATTTGAAGAGTGTGCTTCATAAATTGTAGTTCTGCACTCTGATTTTAGAGCATTTAACAACTTTTCTCATAAAGCAGCACAAATATCTGTGTTACTGTGACATTGATAGAGGGACAACGTCCACCATTTGAACAAACTTGGCAAAGCTTCATTACAACATGCTACAGTCAAATATCAGAACCCTAAATGTCTGTTTTCTGAGAATTCATTCGACCTGTGTGTCCTTGAAAGTGGGTCAAGTATTTGAAAAAGAGACTTGGTAGAACTTTATCTAGTTTGCCAAATGCAACATAGAATCTTTAAATGTCTGTTTTCTGAGAATTCATTCGACCTGTGTGTCCTTGAAAGTGGGTCAAGTATTTGAAAAAGAGACTTGGTAGAACTTTATCTAGTTTGCCAAATGCAACATAGAATCCTAGGCCTTCAGGTTTAATCTATAGACGGCACATGATGAAGGACAAAGCAGAAAATATGGACTCTTGGTCATCACGACCCATTGTTACCACATAATCATGCTATGCCAACTAAACTACATGTCAAGGTTAATATTACATATGCACAATCAGTGGTCCTAATGATACAATCACTACTTAGGTTTTGCTATTTTGAAACACAAATATACCACAATGTTTTGAAATGAAAACCTGCCTGAAGTTGTAGTAGTAAGGCACCTGATGAAGAAACCTAGTATCCAATACAACCCTTCTGAGTGCATTGTGAGCTGCACTTCCCTTTTCTAACCATTCCTGGTCTCGGTCTGCTTCGGCTATTTGTCCGTGACTGCATTGACCAAAGCCTGATTTGTCATAAGCCAAAGTTTAGTTATGTTCGTTAACACAATGGTGCAGAGTAGTTTCCCATAGTTCCTGAAGAATGTTGCAAGTATTAGGTGTACACTATCAGTTATCAAATCATGATTTTTGTTTTTTTTTTTTTAGAAAAGGAGGTTCATAAATTTCTTTCTCAATTAAAGATATAGCTAGGTATATTTTGTTTTATTTTTCCCCTTAATGATAGCTTTCCACAAAATGTGTCAGGAAATCTACATCACGTAGGTACATTATATAATACATATTGACTCTCTATCTACTTATATAATATATTTGTACTCTCAATAAAATGGCTGACTAATACACCTGCAGTCAAATGGCAGACATTATTTATTAGTACTTAGATTGAATACTTAGATTGTATACTATCTAATTTCTCAGCAAGAACTTACCCATGTGAGTTAGACAGCAGATCCTTTTTGGGATTGGATTATTTCTACCGATTCTTTGCAATTTTTCATGTTGCATTTTACTTTTATTTTGGTTTGAGCTAGTGCTGTAAGCCTTTCCATATACACCATGCATGTAGAAACCTTTGTCAGATGGAAACAAGACT